TTCAAAGCGCGTTTATTATTGAGAGACTTTTTAAATACTTTGTAAACTAAAAATGCAACAATATTTATTAATGAATCGACTTTGTATTGAGTGGGCAAAAACATCTAAAAACAATAGAATATCTGAGCACCGGAATACCTCAGTTGCCACTGTCTCCACTGTTTGCTAAACATAGACGCATCCTTGTGTTAGTTTGAAGAGACCAGCTCTCTCCAACCCGCAGTGAAAGTTTATGCGTCTCGTTTGCGTTGGACGGGTACCTCCTCGGCGACTCGTCGCATTCAGCCTATCACTCTTCCATCACACATTGCATAACAACATGTTAATTTCTTTACTTTCACGGACTATTGAACACATCGAAAATTAATTTGTTGCATTGATTGGTGGTATCACTTACACTGGACATGTCGCGTTAATGATGTTCAACTTTCAAAGCTTCATTTGGAATATATTTGACTTCAATTTCTTTTATCGATAGTCTCCGAAAATGAGTATCTATTACTACATTACTAGTATCTCTAATGCCCGAGGAGTTTGATGACGCTGTGGTTAGAACACTACGTCTGCGATTCAAAATTATGGTGTGGTGTTCCATTTGTTATCACGAGCTCTGTGCTTTGGAAGGCACGCTAAGCTCTTAATCCCACATTGAGCCCACGTGCTCATGCAAGGTAATACTTCGCCCTCCTTATTTGATGATCCATAGAGGAGACCTGTGCCCGAGCAGTGGGAACGCAAATAGGCCTGATAAAAAATATCTCTCCTTGCATCTCAAGGGATATGGCGTATAGATTTAGATTTATGCAACAATAGTATATTCGCCTATAGTGAGCCTTCCCTATGGACAAAGTCAATCAAAATTATTAGTCCAGTGAAAATCTAATTAAACTATGATCGGTAGTTTTTATGTTTTTATGACAAACACAGCGCAGGATGTTTGTTATAATACAATAGAAACGGATATATAGTTACTCCTTTGTAATAATCTTGTAATTTCCTCTGCCATTTGTGACAGAAAACATATGCCAAAAATAACAAAACCTTCAAGTTTTCACCGTTCCTATTCCAGCGACTAGTGTTCACAGCTGATAAACATAGATTATCGAAGTCATCTACCAAGTCAATTGAACAAAATGACATTGACATCAACGATTCAAGGCATAATATGTTCATGATAAGTCATAACAAACGTGTAGGCAAGTATTAGTCACGTACCCATCACTCACCAACATTGTAACAATTTATACATTCAAAATGAATTATAGCTTTGTCTCTTCATTCATCATTGTGTTGTATACCACAAAATTATTGCGAAATAAATCATACATAGAGGCTTCTGTTTGTGTTTGTATAAAGGTTACAAGGTCATTACACACTTTAGTTTCAGTCAGTTGACTAGTTTCTTGTGTATCTGATGAATCTTTGATTTCACCAGTATTTTTACGACTGACTAATCATGAATGGATTTTGTATAATCATTTTTTTTTATTTTGTAGTTATCATTTTAAGAAGTACCGATTGTTGGAGCTAATTATTTATTAACTATAGTGGCCGCCAGCGACTTCGTCCGCGTTTTTCATTATTTCTTCGCTCCTAATAGTTGCAGCGTGATGTTATATAACCTAAAGCCTTCCTCGATAAATGGTCTATTCAACACAAAAAGATTTTTTCAATTCGAACCAGTAGTTCCTGAGATTAGAGCGTTCAAACAAACAAACTCTTCAGCTTTATTATATTAGTATAGATATATGTACTTATATTTTCATATCGAATGATAATCGAATTAATGTTTGTCGTTCTTTGATAATTAATGAGGTGTCGGACTATATGTTCTTATCAATGTTGTGCTGTAGGTAAATAAGTATAATGATTGAAACAATGCTTTATTAATTTTAACTTTAACATCTTTGAAAAGTCTGTGTGCTAATACTCTGGTTACAATCTAAGTTTCTATCAAAACGTCCTTCAAATTACCTAAGAAAATATATGAAGATACGCAGTCTAACATGGAACCGGCTGGCCCTAGTATACAATCATTGGCGAGTGACGTGATTGTGCTGGCATGCGCGCGCGCACCTGTATAGATCGCAACGGTTAACTCTTATCACTAATGCCATTAAATCCATATTAAAGTAAACTAATTTAACAGCATGGGTGCGATCAAGTACCGGTTAACAGCTTGCGTAATTTGACCACTATATTTAGCTAAGAATGCCGTACTATTGAAATGAAAAAGTCAAGCCATAAAAACTATAACTGTTTTTATGTATTTTTATACTAAAGTTACTGTGTAAATAAAAAAAAATTTACTTCCCTTTTTTTCTTACGTACGGATAATTTATTAATCAGCAAACATATACATACATATGTAGATCTAAGTAACTTCAGTCTTAACCAAATCTTAACACATTTTAAGTGAACCAAAATAATACTAAGCAAATCAACCATGATTCACTTTATCAGAAAATCTAATAGTAAAAGACCACATACACAAGTTAGAGGCTTACGTGCATCAGACCTGAGACGTGCAATGACCAGGATTCGCTATTGGGCTATCTCCACCTTAGAGAATCAAACCAACTTCTTTACCCCTTCAGAAGTAGTTTCTATCTGGCATGATATAAATACATTCAGATTCTTCTTATTTGCTCTTCCATAATAAACTGAATTTCATCAGTAGCATTTATTTCATGACATTACTAGTTTAAAGAAATTGTTTTAAATTACCAAGAATTTTATTATTCGTTTTGGTGACATTTCTTTTAATTCCTTTAAAGTACTTATGGATTTGCACGAGGTTAAAACTTCCTCAAGAAATTTTCAATCAGTATAAATGGTATTGAAATTGATTGTCAAGCAGGAGTTGAATTACAAAAAGTTGATAAACAGTTGACGGTACTTCAGATATTAAGAATGTTATGATTGTAGTATTTTTATTGACATTCACGGTAATTTTAGATGATTTTCTGACGTATATTAAATTTCACTATTTCGAGCAAACATGATTATACGACTTTCTAGAAATATAAATGGTTGAATCATTAATAATCTTCAGCTTATTGCTTAAAATAATTGATTTTAAGAAAATGATGATATTAAGAAAATTTGATCTAGCAACAAGACTATCATAGCACAACTAATCATAAATAAAAACCACCAATTATTAGGATTAGTTTGAACGCGTCAATCAGTTGATCGATCTTTAACACGACCACTGCAGTCACCGTTGCTTGTCAAACCGCAAACAGTTATAATGAGTTACTTTTCCGGATGACTGCAATGTTGACATATACTTATGACGTATGACGATACCTATTAAAGTATGCAATAGAACGTTTTATAATTATTTTTTACAATTAATAACTAACTCTATAAATCTAACCTTAATAGTAGATATTTGCACATTTCAAATATGTAGCTAGTAAAAATATTGGACGAGAAACCGTTAAAGAAGTGAGCATACTTGCAAACTGCAGTAATAACTTTATAAAAGTCAAGTAGTAAATGCAAGTTAAATTTAGAAAGTAGGTTTTTACAAGAATAATGTTTTTAGCATATTGATAGTATTTTTTATGAATAACAAGGTCATAATAGTGGAGTCATTAAATTTATTTCAAGTACGCAATTTGTTTAATTTAAAGATGAATCGTCGGTCATGGTAGTGAGATTACACCGGCTCGCGATAGTCGTGGGAGCGTGGGAGGTAGGAGTATGAGTGAGCCTGCGCAACTCACGACCACCGTTTGTTCTCACAACGACTAGTGAACCGTGTTCACCACACTCACGTTCTACTGCCTCTCCCATTATAAAATTTATTATTTTATTATCTATTGACGAATTTAAGGAAAATGATTTTAATTTAATTAATTCAGTTCTGTTCATTAATAATGTGCTTGTTAATTAATTTTTGAAGTTCACGAAATACAAAGAATTATGAATTATGATGTTAATAGTCTCATTAATAATTATGAACTATGAAGTCTCATTAATTGTGTTCGCAGTATGGTTTTCTGTTAATCTGATGGACAGTACTCCATGGTACGACATCATTAGCTTTCGTCGTACTGATGAATATTAGTTAAATTCACTTTCTTTTCGTTGTCTTTTACCAACTATGTAGGTAGGCATATAATTTATTTATTTTTAATTCTACTTGAGTAATATTATTATTTCATCATACTATTATCATAATATCCGGCAAATACATAATTATGAATTGTGAGTCATTGTTAATCATGACCAATAACTAATTTTGTAGAGATATTTTTAGAATTTAAGACAAACCCTACTGTCAAACAAGCTAGTACATTACATTTTGAAACTCATTAGTATTAGTCGAAGATAACCTGTCTACCCTTATTATTCTCGGTCGAGTGCTCATGGTTAATGCTAAAGAAAATCGAATGTGTTATGGAATATTAATGGAGTTAATAATGGTATCTGTTGCGTGCATGCAAATAGAAGAAATCGTATCTTTCGACGATTAACATGTGCGGTCACGTTCCAGCGTCCGACGGCACAGGAACTCCCTACAAGTAAAGTTCCGGTGCGATGCCGACACCGCCTAGTGGCTGTAGCATCCGACGCTATTTATCAGCTGTCGTGGGTTCGATTCGTTGCGTTCTATCTTACCACGAGCTGAGCCGGTGGCGGTGTAGCGGCTCGAGCGGAGCAACGACCGTGTGTGCGCGTCCTCTACCGCACCGACACGTACGCTGCCACCATTCTACACAACAACTATGCTTTATAATGACCTATCTAGCTTCCGATATGACCATCACTCCGATAACCTATTCTGTTTACTGTCATCACGACCTATTTTGCTGAACCGAATTTCCGCATAGTGACACGAAACTATGCAATTCAGTTTAGTTGTAAGTCAAAATGTAGGATTCTAGGGCTGAATGTTGCGGGAAAGCGACGCTCACGTAGGTTATTTACCTGGCTACGTTTAAGATTTCGATGAATGGGAATGTGCCTCCAGGCGGCGAAGGACTCACCTAGATCTTCCGTACTTCTTATAGGGATGTGACACCGATTCCTGAACGACGCTTTCACACACAACACTCGCGGCGATAGGTACCTCGCGCCTCAGCGGCGACTCAGTGCACACTGCCAGGGATTGCCTCTCCGCCCCGCGCGCCTCTTACCTGTGCGGGCGCAGGTGCGCGCGGGCAGAGAGGGAGGGCGGAGGCCGAGAGCCTTCGTGCGGGAGGGGTGTCCACCAGTCTCGGGTCAGCCGTAACGTTGAGTGCGTGTCACTAACGCAGCCAGAATGTCCGCGAACGGGTCAGCGGCGACCGAGCCGCGGCTCTGCCACGTGCGGAAGTCGCCTGACTTTGACGGATACGGTTTCAACCTGCACGCCGAAAAGGGGAAACCTGGGCAGTATATCGGTAAAGTGGATGAAGGCTCACCGGCAGAGACGGCGGGGTTAAAACGCGGCGATCGCATCTTGGAGGTAAACGGGCATAGCATCGCGGGCGAAACACACAAACAAGTGGTAGCGCGCATCAAAGAGCGGCCTGACGACGCCGAGCTTCTGGTAGTGGCGCCTGCGCCCGGCGATCCGGTACTGGATCTGGACGCTGTTCCAAACCGTGTCCAGTCCGCTAACAGCGAGCGACGCGAAAGTCCGCCGCCCTCTGAGGCGCCGCGGCTCAACCTGCAGATGACCGCTGCGGAGATGCGCGCTCACCTCGCGGCCAAGAAGAAGGTCGACCCCAAGAAGGTGCCCATGGACCTCAAGTCCAAGTTCGACATCGTCAAGAAACTGTAGCCGCGAGTGAAGTGTAGTGGTGTTGTGCATTGTTGTTATTAATGTGTAGTGTCGCAATGTCACATCGCGTTTGTACATAATGGCCGTAGTAGTATGCAATGAAGGTTGCATGCGCGCGCGGCGTTGCCAGCTCGCGCGGGCGGGCGCCCGCGACCGGGGCGCGCGCCATGTCTCGCGGCTCCCACGCCCTCTGATGTAAAATATTTTATGCCTTCCATGAATTGCCATTGAATAAAATTATTGTACATACATGTAGTTGCTACAATTCGTTTATATAGTAAATAGGAATATTGATTTTTATATATATTTATTTACTATGTTCGAATGAAAATATTTGATTTTAATGTTTTGATTTATTACTGTAGAATAACTTTATTAACATTAAGTGCAATTATTGTTGAATGATCAATAAATATTATTTTACCCGAGTCGTGCTCGTGTGTTTGTCATTTGAGGCGCACGCTCACCAGCGATTGATCAATCCTATGAGTCATGAAATGACATGACGTGATCATCGCTAACTAGTGTTGCTATATACATTTTTTTTAAATTCCGTTTCACATAGCATGGGTAGGGTAAAACAAATCCATTTCACGTAATTTGTATGTCCAAATAATTAAAAAGGATCGTTACAAAAAATAATTTGACTATGTATATATTCGTTATTTGTTTAAACTTACATAATAAAACACGAATAATTTTTAATAGCCATAATTACGGAAATGTAACCCTCTAAAGTTAAAAACATAAATGCTTGTTACAAAAATTGGAACGGTTTTTTAATAGTGATTGCACCAACAAAATCTTTTAATCGAAATATGTGTTCGGTAATCACTATAACCGTGACCTATAATATTTTTTTATGTTTTTCCGACTCAGGTTTAATTTTTGTGAATAATATGTTTCTTAAATCCTGTTTTAGACATTGACCTCAAAATCTATCATCTCTATTAGAAATGAACTTGATATCCCAAACGTCACCGTACCCATATTATTTGAGAAAGACTATAATTAAGAACATTTTAGTTTAGCACTTTGAGCGACAGTAATACGTGCAGGTACCGAGTCCACAGTCGTTATCTTCTCCAGATAAGAGATAAGTAAAGTACGTAACATGTTTGGTTGACAAATATAATTCATTGTAGTATATAATATAAAATAATTTAGATATTTGACGATAATATGGTTTTACTTTAAATATATTTTATATGGTTGAGGAATTACGAAGGTGTAGCTGAAAAATAATAATTATAAACATGATAATATGAAAGAGTACCTACTTTTTCTACCACTGAATATTTTATAGGAGTTTAATTATTAATTATTGAATATTTGGTATCCATTAATTGTTACAAATGCGAAAGTAATCCCGTTTATTTATTTGCTAGCCTGTTAAGCCGCTGAGCTGGTTATTATGACAGAAATTAATGTAGAGAGAACTTAAAGCCTAGATTTAGATTCAGGTTTTGTTTATTTCACTACCCTTAAAAAGTACATAAATATTTTGTCATTTTATTTACGCTTACGTACCTATTTTATTGTATAAAGAGAGCTTTTGTTCGTAAAACTGGTGATATTTAGCAAGACAAAGTGAAAGTGAAAATGATAAAACATATTAATTCGATGAAATAATAAGGTGCGTAAGTCATAATTAAAAACCAACAACAGTGTTCCATGAATTTAGGTTGTTAGTTCAAAATGGTTAGTGCTTTACTTTATTCCTGCTATGTCTTTCAATTCGTTTAAAAAACTTCAACAAAGTTAGGATGTCCAACACCAACGCTTTAGTACATCATATTTAGAAGATGGTGTTGGTAATATAAACATTTATTTGTTTTCTGAAGAATTTTATGAAGATAGACAGCAAAGAAAATATCAATATAGGAGACGACCAATGCTCTATACTAGCGTTGGTCGTCTCCTATATTGATATTTTCTTTTCGACCCGATCCTTCGATATTTTCACCAATTAAATCCTAATTTATATTTAGAAGCTCATAAACGTCGACCTAAGGCTCAGCCCTTTCTTATTGACAGATTACAAAAGCAGAACAAGTAGAACTAGAGCATAGGCCCAGTACCGATTTAAATACAATCATAGCATGAATCAGATTAGAATTTCTAGCAATATTTCTATCGTGGCATTGTAAAGGTGGAATATTAAATTCAAACTTAATTTATTTTACATTTTCTAAGGAATTTTTATGAGCAACAATGCCATCAATGATTATCTCGTCATAATTCGATAGTTCAGATGAACCCGAGACCTTCAATTTTCCAGTTAAATGGACACGTTGAATGGTAAGGTCGCACTATGTTTGTTATCCGATTGGTGTCATAATTATTATAAGGTTTTTTATTCCACGCTAGCATTTTTTAACAAAGTTTTTTTGCATGCTATCGAATTACAACTAATTTATAAAAACAACAAATGAAGAGAATGATTCAGCTGCATATATCCTTGACACTAATAGTAATCTGTCAGTGTTACATAATAAATAGATAACACTAACTAACAGGATACAATTGTTACTTACAGTTGCTGTTAAATACCTTTTATACAATTTGAAGCAAGAGTAATGGTGTTTGTCTTAATGAATGCACAAGATGTAATATGTTTAAAAAAGAAAAGCTTGAAAAGTAGTCGTTAGTGCCTTCCTGTATACTGTGCTGAAGTAACATAAGTTTTATAAAAGTCTTAGGTGATCAGAAATTTATTATCACGACCTCTCCTGTGCTTCAGAAGGCACGTTAAAACGTTGGTCCCGGCCCAAACTGCTGATGAATAGAAAAATATGCATAGACATTAAATTTCTCAATTCGGATATACTTATTTGCTAAATGCCCACTTAATAAGCAACTTTTTAACTTTTTAACTTCTTTTTAACTTCATTAAACCAAAGAAATGTTACTTAGATTTTTAATTTTATGACTCAAAACCACTACCTTTGCTATTTTCTTCGCATCATGTGACACCACTCTCAAATGTGTGTAAAATGGAATCCCCCACTTTACAGACCGTTGGAATTTAATCACAATTAATTCATATGTTCGTCAGAATACCAGAATAAGCAACAGTTTATCACGAAAGTATAAATACATTTTTGTTCTCATCAATCCATTCTAATGCAATTGTTAATATTTTAAAGCATAAATTTAAAATATCAAAAATTTTAATGTTTATCCTTTTTAATGAATTAAAATTTGCATATTACTAAATCCGGCTAAACCAACCAGCAGTTACGGAGCAAAGTGACACGACACGACTTTATGATGAGCGGTTCTCACTGACCGTCCATAATTGTGAATAAGCCGATGTACCGATTGAAAAAACGCGAGGTGAAATAACCATTAACAGATCGCCCAACACTCTAATGGGCTATACAAAAAATGATCTTAATAAAACAAAAATTGATCTCAATGCAGCTAATGAGTAATCGATACCCTGAACAAATAAAATAGGTGATTATTACTTCTTGTACCTTTGTGACACAGCAGATTAAACTGATTCTCCAACTTATTTTGTAAAGTGCGAAGGATGTGAGTATAAAGAGAGGAAAAACAAAAGTGATTTGTCGTACCTAACATAAAATTAAAATAGTTCATACTGCCTACAAATGTTTCCTGTGTAGGTATTTCCTAATTGTGACACTATAACAGATTTCCATGGATTAGATAATGATATTTCTGATTAATAATATATAATAAGCTTCGTAAATGACTACAGAAATACAAAGCCACCCGAGAGATTCACGTGGTTTTGTGGAGGATACTGGAACGTGGCCACACGGACAAGAATAAAACAGCCCGCTTCGAGACCGGTTCACGCAATCCTTTAGGTTTATATTATCTCGTATAATTTGCATCCTACTACGAAAATATGATGCAATAATCCGATTTATTTATTTGTAAGTCAATAATGCTTAACATATCATAATTCATATTCATATTCAAAAACAACGTTCATAATTTTCATAGTAGGGCCTCAATTATTTGTGTGTACTAACTAAAATGTCTCGTAAATTACCATATTTATATTGGTAAATTAATTTCGTTAATTTTATCCAGTTTATGCCATAAAAAATAACTTTTATATGCCTGTTTAACCACTTTAACAAGAAAATCTAAAAATAAAGCAAAACTTAAACAATATTAATATTGGTCCCAATTTTGAAACGTTATTGAATATTAGGTATATATACTTTTATACAATATATATAGTCTAGTATAACAATGTAGTTCGCGAGTTCATCATGTTACATACATGTCCTCGAACGAAAATTCGGAAAATTTTGAATCGTTCTTATAATCATACCGGATATGATTTAAGAACTATTAAAAAAAATCCGATTAAGATTATTATCTGTGCATCAGACGGTCATATCTCCGTTGCATCACAAATAATTTTATAGTTTTAAACGATATCCAAAGTTATTATTAAAGAAGTAACAAACATCTAAACCAACAAATTTTCGCCTTTATAATATAAGTAAGACTCACAGTGGGAATGTTGAATGTTACATGACAGTAATGAGTGGTGGGTGGTGCAGGTACGTTATAGCGGCCATGGCTGACTCTAATTGCAGGTGAGGCGGCGGCGGCAACATGCCATCACCGATACTAACACAGCGGCCGGCGCACGCGCATCCGTCATGCATGTTTATTAACCGCACGAGTTTTTATTCGTGTAATTTTTGCTGGTTTGAAATTTGAAACATGACCAATTTTCTGCGTATTTAATGCGACTTCATGTACGATTATAATTTTTAATTTGTACATTTTGATCTATAACAATCACCGCAAACTATGCCAGTAAAGAAAGTGCAATAATGGTTTCTATCGATGGTGATTTCAAATCAGGATGTAACCCATATATACTGACCAATATATCATTTCCAATACTATTTATATCATTTCGTAATAATGATCTTGTATAAATAAATTAACTAAATTATTATATTTGAACAATTCTGTATTCACAATGCTATACTGAAAATGCTTGAAAAATCTACTTTGTCCCTGGCACTCTGAGATGGGACTCGAAACCATGACCTTTTGCAATCCAGGCGACTGCTCTAACCACTGAGCTACCCAGGACCTAACAGGACTGACGATATGTTCAAGCACTTTTCGGTACTACAGAACGTGTTACAATCCATGTTCAGGCAATCTACCAAAACAGCCGAAAGAATTATTTTTACAAATATTTAAACTTTCGATAAAGATTAAAGTTTAGTAATTATTATACGAGGGCGGGATGATAAATAGCTAGCCCAATCCATATTTTGTATAATAACGATATAAAATCTCCTTAGTATTTTACTCATTGGTTCATTAGCTGCCAGTATTCCAAATTAAGTGTGCTAAAATAAATTACAAGTGTGTATTCGTGAAAAAAGACCCGGCCTGGCGAAAAAAATTTTTTTT